AAGTTAGTAGCAAAAAGAGCTGCTCCGAAGTCCATACTCTACGAAATCCACATAGCTCATGAGGAGAACGATCAAACTATAGACCAGGGGCAATTGCGCTCCAAAGAAAGGTTTTGAGCCTGCTGCATCCTCAAGTCCCTCTTGGGATAAAGGCATAAGCAGACTAGAACACCACAGGTCAGTTGCTTAATCATGCTGCCGTATTTTCATAAATAAGACTCATAAAAACAGAATGCTGTAATCCGCAATGTCTCATGAAAAGTGTTATGACTGCTAATGCTTAGATTCAAGAAACCCGAATTCTTTACCAGGCTATAGGCTGTGAGTGTTTCAGAGAAAGAGAAGATGGGGCAAGACTTGGAGAAAGATAGCCCTCCATCATGACGTGATATAATTTATGGTGACATTTATATGGTGGCATACATATGATGTCATCTAGTGCTCCTGGAAGAGACTCTATCAGAGTTTTTCTTCTCATCACCCTTTAGTGTTCTCAGATAAGAAAGATGCACACAAAGCTCTGTAGAGCTGGGAATATGAATCTTTTCTCATTATGAGATGAACACCCAATATCCATGTTGATATGCTCATGTAGAAAGAAACCATTGCAAATCCTAAGGAAAAGTTTTTACAAATCTTCCTGCATGCCTTCACTCTCAAATCAGCAAGCATGGGATAGATTCATTCACAATATTTTGACACGAGGCAGGAATTAAACTCCAAAATGGTGTCCTTATGGAAACCCAACAAATGCTGTTAACAAAGTATGAGGATAACATGCTAGAAAGGTCTCCTTCCGCTGGTCTGTCATGACCAACTCTGGGCTCCGAGTCAAAACACTGCCTTCCCCTTAAATTTTTCTCTAAATAACCAACTATGAGAAGCCCAAGACAAACAGGTAAAGTCAGGTTTTCAGTACTTCTTTTTGAGGTCTTCCAGTCTGAAATATTTTCAAGTGACATATTTGTCTTTTAAGTCATGAAACTCGCCTCACCTAATAATCATAGCTTCCTTCAAGCTACTCTTTAAAAATAAATCAAATAAGGGCGACTGGGTGGCTCAGTCCGTCAAGCGGCTGTCTTCGGCTCAGGTCATGATTCCAGGTTCCTGAGATCGAGCCCCACATCAGGCTCCCTGCTCAGCAGAGAACCTGCTTCTCCCTTTCCCTCTGCCTGCCGTTCTGCCTACTTGTGCTCTCTCTCTATCTCTCTTCAAATAAATAAAATCTTAAAAAAATAAGTCAAATAAAATCAGAGAATACGGTTAAAATATCAAAATAGAGAATACAGTTGCCTGCATCCACACTTATTTCCAAAGGGAGAAGATATTTGTAAAGGTGAGTCCTAATTCTGATATACTGATGAGTTCAAAATCCTCATGCACAATATGAACTGTGAGAATGATAGCTAGCATGTATTAAGAACATGATATATGCCAAGTATTGTTCTAAAACTCTTGTACGTATTAGCTCATTTCATCCTCATCATAACTCTGTGGATGGTACCATCTTTACACCCTTTTTACCTATGAAACAATGCGACCTGATTTACTTAAAGTCTCAAGTCAAGACAGTCTGGTTTGAGAGCTGATGCCCTCCCCCGGTAAAAAACTGTTTTAAAAAAATTATTCTGTTATGCTATTCTTAACACTGTGGGAAGGCAGGGGACTATCTTGAGAAATTCGTTTTTCCATGAGAAGGGTTTTAGATTATCTGTGAATTCTAGAACTATAGCTCGATTCCATTTGGAGGTAACTCGAGCGCTCTGCACACGCTTGCTTTGGGAGCGTCCACGTTTATAAACAAGCCCGCACTGGAATTCAGCCTGACTTTTGAGTTGGTCCATGGAAAATGCAAGTATGTAATACAATCAGACTTCATTTGGGCCATCCTTTAGCTGCTTAGGTACACTGGCAATGAAAGAGCTGAAGCCATAAACTTGGCAGCGACTTCAAAATATCCAGTTGGTCCTGGAATGTCAACATGCTCATTTATGTACATTTATTGCTCCTCACTGTCCAAATCTACCCTGAGTCTCCAATCAAGAAGAAGGACTGATAGGTACACTGCTAATATGACGTGACTGGGGACAATACAGAGTGACATGACCCGAGGTGATGAAGGGAACACTTATGTATGGTTCCCCGACCATCCCCTCCCCATCCCTGCCACACATCCCGATGCATATCACATCCTTGCCTTGGCAGTCACAGACAGAAAAGCCCAAAGATATTTACGAAGCTGCATCTGTCAACAACACCAATGGTCCACCCGAAATGCTGTCAGCATGCAGACTGACTCATCCCTGCTGTCCATATGTACTACGTCCCCTTGCCTTCGGTTCTAGCTGTGCTTCGCGGGGCCAGTGGGGCATGGCCCCAGAGCCACCACGCCTTTCCCAAAGACCTAGGGATGTGGGGCTGGAAAGAAGAGAGTCATCGAGTTCACATTTGTCCCATTAAGAGGGAAAGGCAGCAAGGGAGGAATCTAGGACCAGGACAGAGAGGAAGAAAACATTAAAAATCAACAAAATCTGTACATTTGTGGTTGCTTCGGCAACCTTCCAGAACAGTGCAAGGATACCCGTTCCTGGCCCCATAACACGAAGGCTAAAGTAGCTACTTTGTTTCATATTCAGAACCATAGTTTATCCTTCATATATGCCTGAATTTACAGCAAATACATGGGACTATAGCTGAACAATACGCTCATGTCCTAAGTGTACGGAATTCTCCAATACACCACTGTCTCCAGAGAGTAATTCCATAATTTCCTATTTGAATTTTTGATTGACCTAGATGCTAGGGAAATGTCTTACAACTTCTGAAAATATTTTCTCTCCATTAAAGAGGAATCACTGTCTCTCTTCTTCAGAAAACATTCTGCACATACCGATTTAAATCTTGCACCCAAAACTCATGGGCCAAAATGGCATATTCAACACGAACACCAAACGGCACATGATTTCATTTTTCTTTGAGATTGAGAAGCTTATTTTGAGATCTCTCTGAACCTGGGGCATTTCATTGTGATTTTAACTTGTATGGCATAAAAGAAGGGTAAACATAGCAGCTGGTACATGAGCTGAGATGGTGTGCCAGTAGGCAGGGTCTGTCCGGGCAGTTTGGGGAAGGTATTCCCAAAGATCTTCTCACTTCAGGAGTGGGGGGGGGGGGGGGGGGAAGGTACACAGTACAAACTCTTTCACCTAAGGTAGTCAACCCCCAAACAGGGAGAGTTTTCACTTACCATCCACCACTATTTGCCTCATCTACACTAAAAAAAAAAATAGAAAACCAAGAACATGGCCAACCTGAATTTTAAATCCCATGGTGGTAATCTGGGATAAGACAAGGTTTCTTTGAGGCTGATGAATGAGAATTGTTTTTTCTCCTTAAAAAAGAAAATCATTCCTGTCTTTTAGGAGAGAGATAAAGGCAAAAGACACATAAAGTAATGAGCTTAAAATGGATTGTCACTTCTTAAAAAAAAATGCGCTAGGTCAGTGGGTTTTTTCTGTAGAACTAGTTACGTGAAATTCGGTTATAGGTGAATAAAGAAACCAGAGAGATAAGGATGTCACATTAATGAAAAAAGAATTCTTAAATTCCTGCCCCTTTTGATGTTTCCCTTGACAATTAGTATTCCCGTCCTCACCAGATGATAAAAAACTCTAGGCAAATTTCCAAAGGAAGTAAGCAATAAGATATGTTTTGAGGGAAAGAAAGAGTGAAGGAGGAAAAAAAAGAAGAGAGACTACGGGAATTGAGAAAGTAAAGAAGAAAGTAGAAGAAGAGCTTCTGGGACCTGAAATAAGTATGGCATTAATTTTTTTCCCACCAAGTCTTAGTCTTGGCAGGCTTCTGCTAAAATGCAGGAATTTCATGGATGTGGGAACTGGTGATGGAAAATGCATTATTATACACAACAATCGTTGTACTTGAGAGGAACTATATGGGAAAAAATAACACCCTAGAATAAATACAAATGAAATTCATGTATCAAAACCAATACTGTGAAAATAGTTTAAATGTTTCTTGAATTTATATCTAGTCATTAACCTAAATGCAGATTTTAGTTCGAGCTACACTTCTGCCTCATGGTCAGAAGGCCTGAAAACCCGTGGTGTGGAAAATTGGCAGGATAAAGAATATTGAATTGGTCTCCATGGAAAAACAGGTTTTGGCAGCTATAACCTCCTCCTTGAATGGGTCCCCCCACCCAAGTCAAATTCTCCTCCCTATTTCACTCTGGTCCCAGGAAAGAGACCAAGGGAAGACCACATATTAGTTTAGCAGCAAGCAGATAGGTGTCAACTTGGCCAGTCACCAGAGGACCTTCCTCATTGGCCTTGAATCCCATGGTTGGCGTGAGCCGCCCCTCCCCCCAAGTCCCAAACCTAGACTCCCCCTCTGAGATCACAGAGGCTGGAGGTTTCCATTTCTACTGACTTTGGTTTCCTTCTTCCTTGGAGAAGAAAGTGGGGTGAGGCACCTGCCTTATGCCATGACCTTGCCTTACGCCATGACGCAATTCACAAATGAAACTGATCAATTCATTCGCAGAAATCCTTAACATTTTCTGCCCCCCTCCACTCCTACTCCCAACCTATTTGCATCCACATTCGGTCTGCTCACCTCAGGGAAAGGAGACATTTCCCCAGAGTTTTATTTAGGCTAGAGGACAGAATCAGGGATTATCCAAAATCGTTCATCCACCTGGTAAGACCCTAACGGCCCCACCCAACCCGGGGGCCCACCTCACTCTCTCCTGGGGCTCCACCAAGCAGCCCAGGGTTAGTGGAGCCTATTTTCTTCCCAGCCTCATGTCCAGCCTCCCCGAGAGCCCACGGCTTGCTCAGCAGGCTCCCTCCAGTGGGTTCGGGGCCCTTTGCATGAGCCAGTTGGAGGGAGCACGTCCTTCCCTCACGTGAATGTTGTATCGGTGTGGTCTGCCTGTGCCTCTCTTGGTGGTTTCACCCTGATCTTTTCTCTCTTTGCAGCTGGTTAATAATCCACTAGCAAGTCAGGCTGCCGCAACAGGAGTCATGGGCTCCGTAGCAAGCTCACAGGCCTTTGGCAATGCTCTCTCCAGTCTTCAGGGGGTCACGGGTCAACTAGTTACTAATGCACAAGGACAGGTGAGTGGGAGACGGGAACAAGAGTGAATTTTTATGGCAGATTGAACTCGGAAAGGAAATGAATTTCTTTTGCATGACAGTGATATGTAACCGCATCCATTCGAGGCAAATAAATAATGTTTACTAGAAATGTCAAGAATAGGAGAAGGGTTGGGAGGTGTTTCTCTCTTTTAGAAGCAAGATTTTTTTTTCCTTCCCCTGGAATGGCTAAGTTTTATTTTGTTTTTATTTCTGTACAATGGCTCATGTTCTGACCTTAACTGAAGGAAATACTTTTCACAACGGGCATTCTTTTTCTTTTTTCTTTTTTTTTTTTAAAAAAAGGTTAATTTTAAAAGTAAGATTTCAGTTCTGCTCTTTGATTTATTCATTCTTTATAAACTTGGACAATGGGGGAAACTGGGAAGTTTCCTTCCCTAGTTGCTCTAAGATTTCTACAGTAGCCCTAAGCAAGCCAATTTCTTAATGTGTGGGGACTTGATGGGAGAGACCAGGGCAGTCTTGAGAGAGCAGAAAAGGGAGGGGTGAGGGCCTCTTGCTGATTCTCCTGGAAGCTCGGCTGGTTCTGGTATGTCTGCAGGTTTACTTCAGTCAGCCGGGGCCAGCAAACCTTCCTCATGTCATGGGCAGCGTGCCTGTTCCCTTACACCCCTCAGGTGCCCGCGTCACGGCCCCCAGGACACTGACAGAGCCTCAGATGAGGGGGGCTCCCCCTTTAAGACCCTAGTAAACCTAAAAGCTGCATGAAAAGCAAACCAGAGTTAAAGCTGAGGGTATCAGAAGTGCCCTCCATTCAAAGGCTTGACACTGTTCCTCAGTGGCTAGGGCACCTCGACCGCAAGTATGGCCATTTCTGAGGATGAAGCACAAGGCAGAAGGAGCTTGCACCCTCTCCAGGATTTTCCCTCCCAGGCTTACTTACTCAGCAGTGAGTTTACGGATCCCTGCTTGGCCTGCTCTGTGGAGAACAGGAATTGCGACGTCTTGAACCCTGTTTTTATTTTACATAAAGAGTAAACAGAGATGCATTATAAGCTAAACCGTCTCAATCTACGTCCCAGGGAAAAAAAGCTGACCTTGTTATATTTCCTGGGCGGGTGCAGGATTGTCCCATCAGAACCCCGAGGGCTGAACGATGGAGCTTGTCAAAGAGCAGCCCCAGGTAATGAATCATCTTATCACAGGTGCACACTACACATATTAAAGGAGGGTTGTATGAACACTGTGCCCTCCACAGTCACCTCTCAATGTCGGCTTTAACCCTTGTTCCAATCCCTTTTCATCAAAGGATCATTTTATGCAGCCAGCTCTAAATGGAGGCTCTCAAAAGCCTATTAAGATTTCTGGAGCGACGGGGTTTTGGCATGGAGGAAAAGTTGGTTATAATATCTATAACTCATACTCAGATCGAGTCGGTCCTAGAAGCTCCCTCCCAGAGTTCTGCCCAAAATAGAACAACCCGATTCATTCCTGCCGGCAGCTGGCCCTTGAGATGTAAATTTTAAGAGTTCAAGATAGAAAGCATATCCGCTGATGTGTATTTCCCCCTGATTTTTCTGGTTCCAGTGTCCAAGGAAAATGTACCACTCTGCCCCACCACTTAAGAGTTTGTGATGGAGAAAATGCTTTATCGCTGAGAAGGAATTATTAGGAGTTTATTCTTCCGGTGATTTAATGGCAGATCATCTTGCCAGTTACAAATCCATCTCCTTCTCAGGGGCTAGAGTTAAGCCTTTATGCTGTTTGGCCTTTGCCAGCCCCACCCCCAGGGATAGCTCTCCCGGCCCATGAGTACCCCACAGGAAAATGAGCTTCCGATTAAAAGCTTGATTGACGCTCTGCATATATTGAATAAGAGTTGATTTTAATTTTAAAATTCTTTTGTTTTAGAAACTGTGCTATGATAGTTGATTTGATAAGGTACACAAACCTCCTAAAGTGAAAAAAAAAATTATATCACAGAGGAATCGATATTGCCCACTCGTGAAGTCTTGTCTGAGAGTTCTAGAAACATGCCCAATGGCATCAGGTACTCCTCCTAGTGCTGGGGAAGACTGAGGTACTAATGTTTCCAAGGTCGATGAACTGGCCACATTCCTGTAGCATTGTGTGTTGGGGGGGGGGATGTTTTAAATCTTTGTAACATAAACACAATCATCTTCCCAGAAAAAAGTGCATGCCTTGTACCTCTTGGCACAAAGATACTTGTGTGAACGTTATGAAGTGGCCAGATTACACCAAAAAGAAGGGCAAAAATTATTTGGGGTGTGTGTGTATGTGTGTGTGTGTGTGTGTTCCTTAGGCTTGTATTAATGTGGTACAAAAAATAAGCCTACATTGGAATCAGGTTAATATAATTAGCCTTGCTCAAAAACCCGTGTAAAATTACTTTATCCAGCCCATTTTCAATTCCTTAAAAAATCTCCAGAGCTTTCCCAGAAAAGGTACAAAGAGAAAACTCTTAATATATTTATAGATCCTTCCATTTGAGTTCTTGACATCAACTATTTTTTTACATTTGAAAGTCTGCCCAGAAGTCATAACATTAAAATCTACACCTAGGTTTGGAAAGCATGTTTTACTCCGCTGATACTTTGGGGAAGTCGGGCTGCAGAGGAGGCACTGGTGGGGGTCCCCTGATTCTTGCTCCCCACTGCTAAGATTCTCTCTCTTGCCTACTTGGAAACCAAGATGGGTTTACCCAGGAAAAGAGCTCTGACTAAATTCAGACCTGCCTGGGATAGGGTTCAAGCTCGACATATTTCTAATTTTGTTTTGTTTTTGTTTTTTAAAGAGTTTATTTATTCATTTGACACAGAGAGAGAGAGAGAGAGAGCACAAGTGGGGGGGGCAGGGAGAGGGAGAAGCAGGCTTCCTGCTGAGCAGGGAGCCCAATGCGGGGCTCGACCCCAGGACCCCGGGATCATGACCTGAGCTGAAGGCAGATGCTTAACGACTGAGCTACCCAGGCGCCCCTCTAATTTTAGACCTTGGGGCAATCAATGACTTAATCTTCCTAAACCAGAGCCTCATCCTCGAAAGTTTAAGGTAACCTCTGTGAGGAGGCCCTGGCCAGTGGCTCATGGTCTCCAGGCAAGGGGCTCTAGGTCTTCCTACACAATGAGACAGATGCCCACCCCACATGGGGAGGGAGTCATGCCCCAACCTCAACAGGAAGAAAGTCCCCCCTGATCTGGGACTTGCAGTTTTGTTTCCTTGTCTTGGAATCTGATTGTTTCCATTTGCTGGATTTCAGTAAATTTAAAGGGATGGGAAATCTCCATATATTTAAGGCTTTTTTTTCTGTTCTTTTTTTTTCCTAACCAGTTCAGTCATTCTTTTACCTTTCTACATCTGCCATTCATTTGTGGTTAATTCAAAAGCCAAACACTATTCCGAAGAGTGATGTGTTTTCATAGAAATACTATATTCTAAAGTCACAAAGCACATATCTTACCCCGGGACTGTTAAAGTTTTTAAAAATGATATCATACCCAACTTCACTCTGAGGTGGCAAGGTAGCAAGTGTCCTCTTGGTAATTTGTGATCATGAAATTTATAATGATTATCACAGTGCTGAGAAAAACATTCTAATTCCCCTTGCTTACCAAATCAGGAACATGATCGTAGGAGTGCAGAAGCCAGACAAAGGAATAAGCACTAGCTAGACATGTGTTTGAATCCCAGCTAGCTCTGTGACCTCAAGCAAATGACTTGAGCTCTCTGAGTTTTGGTTTCACTATGAAATAAGGATAATAAAATCTAAGTCCCTAGATTATGAAGATTAAGTGAGGTAAGGTGTGTAAAAAGCCCACCATCGTGCTTGAGTGTATAGTTAGAGACTCAGTAGTAATAAGCAGCTGCAAAAATCATCATCGTCGTCGTCGTCGTCATCATCATCATCGTGGTTTAGAGTTTGGTCTGGCATTTCTGGAAACCTGTCTTTGGTTTGGATGTATAGCAAGAGGCAGTAGAGCGTACAGGCAAAAAGAATGGGCTCTGGAACCAGGCAGCCATTCATCAGCTGTGAGAACTCTGGCAATTGACTTCCCTCTCGCATGCCTTAATTTCCTCATCTGAAAAATGGGGATAAGGGCGGCCCGCGTGGCTACATCGGTTAAATGTCTACCTTCGTCTCAGGTCATGATCCTAGGGTCCTGGGATGGAGTCCATGCCAGGCTCCTTGCTCAGCGAGGAGTCTGCTTCTCCCTCTGCTCCTGCCCCAACTCATGCCCTCTCTCTCTCTCTCTGTCTCTCAAATAAATAAATGAAGAATCCTAAAAAAGAAAAATAGGGATAAAAAGGGAACCAGCTTCTAGGATTAAAGAGCTCAGCATGGAGTCAGGCACATAGTCATCGTTCAATAATGCTAGCATTCCGTATATGCTGTTATTACTAATTAAGGTGCTATGTGTTTCCAGTTCACACTGTGCACACAAACCCACTATGTGTGTGAGGAGTTGGAGAATGTGAGAATCTTAGCAGTAGAACACTAAGTTATTTTAGGGAAATCCTATCCTTACCCCGGATAGTGCAGTAGGGGTGTGTGTGTGTGTGTGTGTTCTTAACACTCCTTCAGTGGGTATGCTCAGGGTTTGGCAAGTAGATTTACCATCGATTTGTTCAGCTATAGAACTGGATTCCCTATTGCTCCTGGCAATATCTCCTTATTGGCATTATTGCAGAAAAGTAAAAGCAAATGAAATTTCATTTTATCCTGGGGCTAAGGAAAGCATTTTACATTTTAACTGAAGCTCACAATGTTTCCTGATGAAATTAGTTCTCCACCGCTGTGAAATTTTCTTAAGTGGCAACAAGTCAAACCAAAGTCCTTCCCTCCCATCCTTAAAGAGCTAGTCAAATAAAAAAAAAAAAAATCAACTGAACATTACTTTTTTTTTTTTTTTAAGATTTTTATTTATTTATTTGAGAGAGAGAGAACATAAGCAGGGAGAGTCGGAGAAGGAGAAGCGGGCTTCCCGCCCAGCAGGGAGCCCGAT